TGCTACCGCTGCTGCTGCTGCTGCCGCTGCTGCTGCTGCTGCTGCTGCTGCTGCTGCACAACTATTACTACTGTTGTACTGTTACTGCTGCCACTACTACTGCTACCGCTGCTGCTGCTGCTACTGCTGCTACTGCTGCTGCTACTGCAACTGTTACTGTTACTTCTTCTTCTACTACTACTACTACTACTACTAACAGGGCACCTGAAATCCCTTGTAACAGCGCATAGGAGAACTTGGCACTTGAAATGCCTGCCACAGCCTCAGCAATGCTGCGAACACCTGTATTCACATGGGAAGATCTGAGCTTGGATTGGGAACTCTGGGCTGAAGGTTTTGGATTCTGGGTCTGGCATTGGGCAGCACAAACAGGAAACCTTCACCTCAAAACACAAACAAGTGAAGCCCCGCCAAAAAAAGTGAAGTTACCCTGACTTCCGGGCCCGATCTGACACTATAGCCAGGACACCTCCAAGGTTCGTGCGCTGCCAGGTTGCGAAGCCATCCAGACAGGCGAGGCGCTCAGATCCAGGGCATCGCGCAGCGCTATCGGCTTGGACGAGCATTGACAAAATACATGGCACTGGGAGCTGGGAGGTCACAAGACACGTGAGCGGCGGGCAATATCCAAAAGACCGAAAGCGACATATGTAACATTGAGCAGGGGTATCGGTTTTGGTACTCAGTATTCGGTATCGGTTCTCCAGAAAAAGTGAGCTTAGTCCTCGTGTGCTATTGCAGGAAAAGGCCCTAAGAAATGCCTGTCGCTCAGGTGCTGTTTCAACATGCGCAACATGCCGTAGTTGCCAAGCGGATGCGGCGGCAATGGCAATTAGCACCCCAGCTAAAATCCTGGGCCTGGGGGCCAACTATCTTCTACAACTACAATTACTATTACTATTTCTAGTACTATTACTACTACTATTCCTATCACTATTACTATTCCTAGTACTATAGCTATTCCTATGACTATTACTATTCCTATTACTATTACGATGGCCAGGGGGCTGTGTGTGCTTTGATGGCAACAAGGATTCTGCGGAGCAGGTCTTTGGTGTTTGACGGTAAATGCAGGATTTCATCATCTTGGTACTCCAGTAACCATATTACAATAAGCCTGCCCCTTTTTTCTGTTGGTCTATTATGTAAAGAAACCCAGAACCAAAAAGGGAAAAAGGGTAGACTGGGTTCCCAGTTTGCGAACACGCCAACATGCAAACACCACAGGGTCGTGAACACTCCCACGAGCACCTGCGCATGGGAACAGGGGAGCAACCGAATCCCGCGTTTTCATGCAAACAGCCAGACAAGCTCCTTCAATGCGAAGAACATTCCTTGGGGCGCACATGAAAACACACTGAAAGGTGTAAGGTTTGGGGTTTGTGTGGTCTTCTCCGTGGATTCCTTCCTTTGGAGAGGCAGTTTCAGGACCCGCTGGAGTCGAGAGCAGCATGTTTGGTCTCACGTTTAAGGTGAAAGCATCGATGGCAACTACTGGCACAAGAACTTTCCTTTGTTTTGGTATAGGACCTAACGCTAGTGCTATAAGGGAATGATACGACTGTTACGCCCACTATTCCGACTACTGTTGCGATGCCACAAGGAGAAAACCTCTGCCAAGGTCTACAGGGCTTTATACTGTCTGTACTCTCCCCCCTCCCCTGTAGCACCCCATCTCGCCCCCCCCCAAACAGAGCCGCTTTCTTCTCCTGGCTCTTCGCGCGCTCTCTTTGCGCTTCGCTATGCTTCGCTTCGTCACATCATGGAGTCCCCTGCCCAAGGCATCCGCCTGTTCGACTTGAAGTAGTCCCTCCAGTTTTGGCCGGCAAGCCATCCACTCCTCCCAACAGGGAGCTGAAAACATGAGGTCTATATCTATATATATATATATAGATTCGTATAATATATTATAGATGTATATGTATATGTCTACATGGAAATCTGTCATAACGGACAACAAGGAAAAGGAAAAAGTTCAAGCTCCGCCGAATGCTAACTGTGACTCAAGCTGCGGCCTTCACATGGTGCGATGCCTTGAGCTTATCCGGATGCCATCCGTGGCCTAGCAAAGGGGCTCATCAAGCCTTCCAAACAGACACGCTAAGGTTTGACAAATGGCTGAGGGCAACGCAACCTCCAGAGCAAAGCTCGCTTAAAGTGCGTTATGCTTTTAAATTCAAACCAGTGTTCGCGCATTGCGGCTTAGCTCTCGAACGTCGCAGCATTTACCATGAAGCCCAGTGAATTGAACAAACCGACCCAGGCCAGGTGCTCAGGCAGAGGTACCCAGCTTGATTGCTCCACGGTCAAGGTACAAAGATACTCAAATGCTCCCCAGAAGTCCAAGCCTCTGTGCTACTAGGCACTCAAGGGGCCGTAGATCATGGCAAGGTCCCCAGTTCTTGCGCCCAAAAACTGCAGAAGCAATCACGCATGTCCACAAATTTATAGACTGATAGTTGACATTAGTAGTGATCATGATCATCGGCATTCGAATGTGTGACTGATGATGTCAAGGAGCCAAAGTATCTGTTTGAACCACCGGGCGTGCCTCTGCCACAGGTGTCCATGGCTCACGTCAAGTTTTAAAGTTAAGGGAATTTAGGGGGGGTTGCGGAATCCGGTGTTCCCAAACATCACTCACCGTGGTGCTAGCAGAAATCGTGGTTCTTTCAATTATTGGACTATTGCCGACTCTAGTGACTCTAGTACTCTTGAAAAACTTTGGGCTCTGGAAGGTGGCTCGAGCTCGGTTCCACACAGCTGGCAGGCCTTCCGCTTTTCCAGACAAAACAAGGTGAACATGCTGCTCCAATGATATCGCAACAGGAAGATACTAAAAACAGTATGAATAGCAACTTCAGTATACATATATGTATAATATAGAGCACTAACCAAACAACTACAATAACACCAACAGTATCGAACAAGCCATAATTGCATTAACAATAGCAACAACAACAACAACAACAACAAAGACAACGACAACAACAACAACAACAACAACAACAGCAAACACCGACACACAAGGCAACAACAGCGACAGCAACGCAGCAACAGCAGCAGCAGCAGCAGCAGCAGCAGCAGCAGCAGCAGCAGCAGCAGCACACCACCACCACCACCACCACCACCACCAACAACAGCAACAACAACAACATGGAGGAATGTCCCAAACTTCGTTGCATGCTTGAGCATCCTTTGCCGTAGGCCAGGTTCGAAATAGATCATGTTAAGCTTGTAGTCTTTGTTGCATGTTTGGAAGGCTTGGTTGTGCAATTCAAAATCCCTGCTTGCAACATCCGTCAGAACAATTCTGTCAACGCAACTTCTCCAGTTCACGGTTTCACATCACGCTTGTTGAAACTGTATTGCTCGCCAAACTCATATTGAAAACATGTCTGCTGCATTCACTCGTGTCTTACGATTCCTGGCGCAAGCAAAAGCGTCATACCCATGTTTGAAACTTGCATGTCCATGGTGCAAGAAGAAGGCATGTCCGCAGACGTCCCTTAGATTTTAGTCAGGGTGGAACAACAACAAAAGCCCCCTCAAGGGGTAATGCAAGCGCTCACCTTTTGGACGCGATTGATCCCAATTGTCCGGACTAGCCTTCCGATTGTACTTGTTATTTGATCAATCAATGCCAATGATCTATGGGAACTTTCGAAATGAAGGTGCAAAGCATCGATGTGACTTTGCATGTCGAAAAGCAGCTAAAGCATGCTTCCATAACCGAAATCTTGACCTGGCAGTAATCTTTTCACGAACTATGGTCAGTTTGACAAGACCTGCATCTACGGCGTCAGCGACTTCGCCAGGGCTGTCATCGGAAATAGTTTCGGGATCAGCAAGAAGACATTTACAGCGAACAGCTCGAAAAAACATGTAAATCGTGATGTCGCTTCTATTCATGCAGCAAAACTTTCTGCAATTTCTCAATGTCTGCATCATACATAGTGGGAATTGCATGATCCATTGCTCACTAAGAGAAGACATGGTACAGGGACGGAATACAAAGGTGACTCGAGCAAGTCACAAGCACACCTGCTAAATGGAGTCATAGACATGTTGGGTTTGCTGCAGACAACAAGGAACAATAACAACATCGCATGAAGAGGAATTAGTGCAAGTCACCACTTTTCGATGGAGAGTCATCGCAAGCATCTGGATACGTATCCTGACTACGCAAGGTCTGGGGGCCGAGCCCTTGGTTGGCATGGGCATGTCGATGCTGAGGGCAGAGCGTCAGAGTGTCAACGTTATATTAGAGGCTTCCAACGTTCCCAATGTCAGGTGATGACTCACCCGACCAGAAGATCGGCAATCAATGACCTGCAGTGTCGTCAGTCCGGTGGTATAATTGCCAGTCCAACGGCAGCTGAACAAGACGCGAAAAAAGTAAGTCATGTTTATTTGTAGTCTGCGAAATGCACGCAGAGCACCATAATTTGCAGACTGCAGTCATTGTAAACATCCCATGAATGTAGAAGTCAAATCCATGAGTCAACGCTCTAGATCTGGACCTGCATATGTGCATCACAATATGATGAGAGGCAGGAACGTAATTTCTCTGAAAGGCATAGAGATTACTGACAAGGCACATCTCCTGCAGTTGAAAGTTTTCTGCGTCTGACGAGTATTCCACAGAATCCAACTCTGCAGCAGACTGAAGTGCTACGGTTCTGCCACTGCTACGACCTAAAAGCAACATGATATCTGTAATGGAAAAGGAAAGATGGACACGGCGCTGGATCAAGTAGGTCATCGCAGGTGCAAACACGCCGTCCATGTTAGAAGCTCGGATCAAATTAGTTGTTAAAGATGTCTCAAAACTCGTTGTTACACAGAGCGCAGAACACATGAGACCAATTTCGTCCCGCATGCAGTTAAAGTCAGGTTGCCGACTAGACTTTCTGCTGCAAATTTCAGAACATGCAACAGGTGGCTCATGAAAGCTGCTATATGTCACCACACAATGCAACGCCAACCAACTGCACGGGCATGGAATCAACTTTTACACCTGGCTCCCTTCAAATGAGCACTGTTAGTAAGTCAGCCCCACCTAGCACTCATGTCCACGCGCTGATGGAAACAGCACCTACCACGTCGATGGTTCTCGGTGGCTCGTGAGCAGATCATATGACAATCCAGACTAGCGCATGTCCCTGCGCATGTGCAAGGAGACTGGGGAAATTCGGGCCGCGCTCCAAGAGTTCTATGGTCCTGCGCAAGATGGGGAGATAGCCCTCAAGCTGGTCTGCAAACCAATTTGCAGCCCACTCCAAGTTCCAGTCAGCAGATGCTGACGATGTTCGCGGCATGAGCAAAACACAGAGAGGAATGCTGCAGCTTGAATGAAACAAGACGGAGATGCCATTACGCCAAACTGCCTGCGACTAGCAAGTTGCAAAAAGCAGTGAGCATGGCCCTTCAGCAACTCTGCAGCGTAAAGGCAGTGGCACTTGTGATCTATTTTTGCCATAAACGCATGAAGGAAGCAAGTCT